ACCCCCGCCATGCTGGAGCCCGCTGCCCCAAGGAGGGTCCCCAGCAGCGGAGTGAACGGGAGTTCGGCTCCAGCAGTCGGAGGCTGGCCAGATGGGATGGGCCCGCCAGACAGGACGGGCCCTCCGGGGGCGCCGGCCGAGCTGCCCCCCGCGGCGGTGGTGGCAGTGTTGGTGGTGCCCGCGCTGGCCGAGGCAGTGGGAGGGGAGGCAGAGTTGCTGGTGCTGAAGGTAGCCTGGCTGCTGACGGAAGAGGGAGCTGACGAGGAGGTCCCGCTGCCTTGAGCTGGGGAGGAGACACAAAGATGGCTGAGTGCGGGCCCAGGTGAGGATGCATGAGCTTTGAGGAAGAGATTTCCAGCCACAAATGACCTCTGGATGCCCTACTTCTCCAGTGTTAGGCATCCAACTCCCCCCCTCTAAACAAGGAAGAACGATGAACCCCCATTTTTGTTGTTTCCCTTCAGCTGGCCAACAATGTCACACAGACTAAATGCCGTCCCAAAATTCCACACTCCATCCTTCTTCCCTGGCCTCCAACAGCAACTTTCAATTTTACCACACACACCTCCCTGTTATTGTCCCGACCTTTCACCTGCCCCAGAACACCACACACTGCATCTCCTGACACAGAAGTGGCCATTTTTTATTTGTTTCCTTCATTTATACCCTGCCTTTCTCCAGGACGGAGGATCCCCCCCCCCCAGCAGCTCTTCTCTCTCATTCTATCCTCACAACAGTTCCGTGAGGCAGATTAGCCTTGACTGTGTGTGACGGGCACAAGGGCCGGCCAGCAAGCTGCCACAACAGAGTGGGGATTTGAACCTAGGTCTCACAGATCCGAGTCTGACATTCTAAGCGTTACACCACACTAGCCGGAACCGTAACTGGACTTTTTGCTAAAAGTTTCCCAGTCTCACCTCCGGCTACCGCCCACCAGGTCTGTCAACAATTCATTCTTCGGGAAGAGCACAGGAGTCAAAAACTGGGGGGGGGGGGCAGCAATGGCAAAAATCACGGCCACCCATCCCACTGCCCTTTCCCAGAACTTTTAATGCCATTCTGCTGAAGAAACTGTAAGACTGGATAAACACCAATGATCGCACACAGCAACATGTGCTACGCACCCTCGCTATTCCAGAGGGGTGTTGTAAAGGGCATGCACATAAGCGGCACTGAGTGCTGTTGCTTAGATGGCACAAACATCTTCCCCACAACCAGCCAAAGTTCTGTACCTGCCCCTCCCCCTCCCCTCCCCTCCGGGTACCGCCACCTACCCACTATTACTGGCTGCATGAGGAGCTGCCCGACCAATCCGCTGATCATCTGGGCCAAGGAAGCATTTCCGCCCATGCCAGGGCCCTGCGAGGGAAGGGGGAAGGCCATTGGCTGGGAACAGGGACAGCGACATGTTAAATTTTGCAATCCACCTTGAGCCTCGGCAAATATAGCAAGCAAGTCTCTCAGATCGAGAGCCCCTTCCCTGCCCCGCCCCCTCCCACAGTGCTCCATTCCTCACTCCTTGTCCTGGCGCCTGGGGTGACCCGGGGTGAGTGGGCCGCACGGAAGGAGCGGAGGGCCTGGCAATCACCACACGTGTCGGAGCCGACTGGAAGCCTGGGACTTGCTGGCCTACGACAGGAAGCGGCAGAAGAAGACTGGATTTACACCCCACCCTTCACTACCCGAAGGAGTCTCAGAGTGGCTTACAATCTCCTTTCCCTTCCCCTCCCGACAACAGACACCCTGTGAGGTAGGTTGGGCTGAGAGAGCTCTCTCGAGAAGTGCCCCTGAGAGAACAGCTCTGAGAGAACTTGTAACTGACCCAAGGGCACACCAGCAGCTGCCTGTGGAGGAGTGGGGAATCAAACCCAGTTCTGCCAGATTAGAGTCCGTACTCCTAACCACTACACCAAACTGGCTCTCACTACACCAAACTGGAAGGAGGCAAGCAATTAGAACTTGGGCACTACAACCAACAGCACCAGGGTGGGGTGGATGAAGAGCTGTTGCCTCCCCTTCCCCACTCCACCTGGAACACCCCACACACACACAGGGTGCTTCAATGTTCTGTGGACAGTTACCTGTGGCCGCGGAAGCCGCTGCCGCCATGGCTTGCTGCGTTATCTGGTGGGCCACCGCCTGCATGAACTCTGGCGGGAGGCTTGGGAGGGGCATGTGAGGAGCACCACCTAGAAAGGAGGCACGCAAAGAGCATGGCTCACGAACCAGGAACCCGCAACCACCAACTGCAGCAGCAGCAGCAGCAGCAGCAGCAGCAGCAGCAGCAGCAGCGGGGGGGCCCCCCGCCCCACCTCTCGCCCTCCCCCAGTCTACTCCAGCTTGGACGCCTCCCCCCCGCCCCCGTTCTCCTTACCCACGCCTTGGCCAGGCCCAGCAGGCCCCATGGGTGGTGCCCCCCCGGCACTGCTTCCTCCCATCTGGGGGCCAGAATCTAAACGGGGGGAAGGAGGCAAGAGTGGGGAAAGTGAGTAACACACGCTCAGACCTTCTGTATTTGAAATATGTAACACATCTGGTGGTGCATCGGATTTCACTTGTTGTACTAACAACTCATATTTGACAAACTTGACGGACCTATATCTTCCCCTACCACCCCCCTTCTTCCCTGCTATATCCCACTTTTTGGGGGGGAGAAAATAATTTTAAAAATAAATTAAAATAAATACATAAACACTCAGACCTTAACAGCCTCACTGGCTTCCTTGGACTCTCCCACAAGTAATCGATTCTCTTCCCAATTCTCTGACACCACCATCCCCCCCAGAACCTTTCAGGGGCTGCCATTTTGTCCGGGTTGCATCATGCAGTGGCTGAAGAACAGCTAACTGCTCCACTGAGCAGGAAGAGCCAGCCTCTGGCTGCAGCTGAATGAACAAGCACTGACACACACACACACACACACGCACCCCTCGTTCCAGAGCTGCCCTGAGCCTGCAGAAGGGCTTTCTGGACCATGCCATGCACCAAAGGCTCCTGGGAGATGGCGCACACACACCATGCACCACCATGGCGGCAAGCAGCGGCAGGGACCTTACTGTTCTAATTTATACTTTACTGTTAGAATCTTATCTGTTTTCCTGCACATTATTATTGTACGCCACCTTGAGCCTGCTTGTCAGGCAAGGCGGGATAGAAATCGAAATTAACAAATAATAATAATAAATAATTGCCGGCTGCACTTGGATGGCAGGCAGGAGGGGAAAGGCGCTCTTGGCCTCTGCCATTGGCTTAGAGGACTGCGTCACCTTTACTGAAAGGCGGGGGCTTTGAAGTAAACCTACCAAGGACTCATTCCCGGGTCCAGAGGCAGCAGCCACAGCACAAAGATTCTCTGCCCTAACTCATAAAGCCGATGGCTGAGAGCCCCGTCTGGATCAGACCACGGGGCCACCTAGGCTCAGCCCCGTTTCAGATTCCCGAGAGGCTCTCAAGCCAGAGGTCGACCCCCCCCCTCCCCTCTCCTCTCCCAGCAACAGCCGGGGGGCCTCCTACCTCTGACCTGAGAACGGGGAGCGGGGCAAACAAAGCACTAAAGGAAAGAGAGAAGAAGAAGAGATTGGATTTATACCCCATGGCCCTTCACTACCCAAAGGTGTCTCAGAGCGGCTTACAAACTCCTTTTTCTTCCCCTCCCCACAACAGACACCCTGTGAGGTAGGTGGGGCTGAGAGAGCTCTTGACAGAAACGGCTCTTTTTCAAGGACAGCTCTTATCAGAACCACGGCTTGCCCAAGGTCATCTAGCCAGGTGCAAGTGGAGGAGTGGGGAATCAAACCCGGTTCTCCCAGATTGGAGTCCGCGCACTTAACCACTACACCAAACTGGCTCTCAGCAGAAATAATACACCAAACTGGAAAGGTGGGGAGAAAGCAGGTGGGGGAAAGTGTAGCAGGGAGGAGGAAAATGGGGGCCAGCAATGGGAGAACAGCAGAAACTGCAGGCAGGGAGGAGGGACTGGAAGGGAAGGGAGAAGAGATTGGATTTATACCCCGTCCTTCACTACCCGAAGGAGTCTCAAAGCGGCTTACAAACTCCTTTCCCTTCCCCCTTCCCACAACAGACACTCTGTGAGGTAGGTGGGGCTGAGAGACCTCTTTTGAGAACTGCTCATGAGAAAACGTATGACTGACCCAAGGTCACACCTGCAACTGTACATGGAGGAGTGGGGGACCAAACCCAGATCTCCCAGATCAGAGTCCGCAATCCTAACCACTACACCAAACTGGACTGCCCCTCCTCCTCTGTGACTCCTTGTGGGTCCACCATTTGTTGCATATATCAGCTGCAGCCAGGGTTGAAGTTGCAGAACCCAAAACACCACCCAGTGAGATGGTGTCGAAGCTGAAATCTAGAAGCAGGAACTTAAGCTACTGGGCTACACTCTCTCCCAAGTCCTATGAAAACTGGACATTCTGGTTTAGGATATGGGCAGCAGTTGAGAATGGACTGGTAAGACGGAAGCCCCACCCGAAAAACCCAGCCGCTCTTCTAGCCCAACGTCCTGCCCCACCCACCATTCCACCAACCCAACGTACCAGTGGCTAGGAGGGAGCCGGCAATTGACAGAACAGCCCCAAACCCCATGACCTTACCCTCCAGTGCCCCACAGTCACCACTCCCCCCCCACCAACACTCCCCCCCACACACACACACATCAAGGGAACTCCTGTGAAAAAACTCACCTTGTATGTTCATGTGCATCATAACCACAGGTTCAACTGTCTGATGGGAGATGCGGATCACGCGCGGGTGGCCCGTCTGGGAGGCCTGCGTTTGAGTCGGGGTGCTTCCTGGGGAAGAGGAAGGGGGCAGCCCCTCCGAGGGCCGGCCAGCCTCCGCAGGACCGGGAGCGCTGGGCTGGGCGGCGGAAACAGCCTGGGGGGCCTGGGCGGAGGCTTCCGCGCTGGCTGGGGCGGGGCGAGCCCCGTTGCCCGTCATGGTGACCGTGGTTCCCACATTGATCTGGGACAAGAGCAAATTGCAGACGGGTTTAGAAGACGAAAGCGTTCCTCGTTCCTCTCTCCTGGTTTACCCTGCTTATGGCTGGAGGTCTACAGCCGCAGCCTCAGCTAGCATTCCCAGGGTCGCACGGGATCACTGACATCTCTACCAGCTTGGGGGTGAGGGTGGCGGGGGGGGGGTTCACTCACCTGGATGGGAATGGCCGCCTGCTGCAGCACCATGGGGGCTGTATAGTGGGACATCGGCCGCACCACGTGGAGGTGGCGGGGGGCACTGCAGGAAAGGTTGCAGCGCAGGTCCGAGAGGGCCACAAACGTGTTCCCCAGCAGGCGCAGGGACTCCCCCACCAGGTTGATGATTCGCTGGTCCTCTTCGCGGCCCTCCGTCTGTTCAATACAAAAGGTAGCCGAACAAGGTGAACCCTTGTTGCGTCCAGATCCCGTATGGTACCTGGAGCCCTGTCAATCATCCAACTGTAGGGTCCACTCCACTGCTGAACTTCAGGACAAATCCCAGTTTTCACATCCCATCAAACTGCAGCTGATTTACAGCGTCCCCTTGGGGTTTTCTAGGCAAGTGACTCACAGAGGTGGGTTTGCCGTTGCTGTCCTCTGCACAGAGACCCAGGAATTCCTTGGTGGTCTCCCATCCAAATACTAACCAGGGCTGACCCTGGTTAGCTTCTGAGCCAGCTTGGGCAATCCGGGTCACATCCCTGACATGGTCTTATTTATTTAGTGCTGAACCATCTCGTCAGTGCAGGAGACAGACATCCTGGCAAGAACCAGCGCTTGGAGGCCTGATACATTTGCTTAAAGCAAAAGGGCCACCCACAAACTCCATTCCAGGACAAAGGCCAGCAGCAGGCAGCCTTTGTTAAAGGTTCCTAGCCATGAGGCTCTTGAAGGGTGGCCTCTTCACCAGCGCGATGCTGGGGAATTGAGGCGCTCTTCCACCCCAACGGTCCTGCCGCTATGCGTCCTAATGGAACTAGAGCCGCTGACCGGGACAAGTGTTGGAGATCGAGCGTTTAAAACGTATTTTAAGCGAGGTCTTATGACCAACAATGAACAGTGAGTCGAGTAAAAGCGAAATACCAGCAATTTAAAAAGAAAGCTCCCCCCTGGGAACAGCAAGAAAAGCGAGCGGGGGAGGGTCCCCTCCCACACGCATTATACACGCATTAACTAAAAAGCGATCTAGCAAGGGGGGAACAAAAATAAAAGCGTTGAAATCTGTTTAAAGAACCTTACCAGAGCGCGGATAGGTGTTGGGCGAATTCCAGAGACTTTAGTAAGTTTTGTTAAAAGTAAACAATCCATAAAAATGACGTGGGAAAAAACGGAAAGAGATAAACAAGCAAAAGTGAAACCACCGGGGAGCATGAGCCCACGACCAGAAGAGACCACTGAGTTCTCTAAACTTTTGGTGGACTCTTTGCGCCCTCTACTGGATCAGATGACTAACATCAATCAACAGCTAACTCTAAACCAGAACTTTGCAGCTCAGCAGCTCCAACTGTCTGAAACTACAAAAAAGACGGAACAAACAGCTGAGAAAGTAAAGGAAATGGATGCCAACTAAAAAAGTCAAGGAAAAGGTGCAAATGCTGGAAAGGAAGCAGGCTTCGGAGGAATCTCAACTTTTACAACTGCAAATGGAGAAAGCTAACCTGGTACTCTGGTTCCAAGGGGTTCCTGAAGCAAAAGATGAGACTCTAAAGCAACTTTTGAGCAATGCATTAGCTCCAGTTATACAGATTTAAAAGCGGAATACCTTATAAGCTAAATGGATGTGGTCTATAGGGCCTATTCCATTTACATCAAGAAAAATAATCTGCCTGGGGAGATAGTGGTTAGATTCTCGAAGAGACACGTGAGGGATTCAATCCTGAAAGCAACTACAGAAATACCCCTGAAAAACAGAGGCAATACCATTAGGATTTTAAAAGACATCCCATCTGAAATAAGGAAGAAGAGGAAGAAGTAAAGGTAAAGGTTCCCTTGCTTGAAAGCCAGTCGAATCCGACTCTATGGTTGCAGTGCTCATTTCTGTTTCAAAGCCGAAGAGCCGGCGCTGTCCGAAGACGTTTCCGTGGTCATGTGGTTGGCATGACTAAACACCAAGGTGCACGGAATGCTGTTACCTTCCCACTGAAGTGGTACCTATTTATCTACTTGCAATTTCTTGCTTTCGAACTGCTAGGTTGGCAGGAGCTGGAACTAGAGATGGGAGCTCACTCCGTCATGCGGCACACTCGGGTCTCAAACTGCTGAACTACCAACCTTCCACAGGGTGCAGGTCAGCGTCTTAACCACTTGAGCCACCGCAGCTCCAGAGGAAGAAGTAAAAAGACTTAATTCTTTTCTTACAAACAAACAGCATTTCCTACAGATGGCTGACCCCCGAAGGCGTCATTTTCAAACTGCAGGAAAAATTGACTTTGTTTTCAAAGCGCATGAGTTCTTGAGACTGCAACTGGGAGAGCCAGCTGAGGACGCTAAAGAAGATGATAGCAAATCTAATGGTGAATTGAACTCCGTGTCTTCCGACGAGGATTCTGCTTCAGAAAAGGGGGCGGCTGCCTCTAAACGAGAATACCAATTGAGAATTAGAAAAGACAAAGCAAAGTGAAGGCTGAAGAACTCTGAATGGTGCCTTAAACCATTTGTTATAAATGATACTCCTGAGGTTGTCTTTAAACAGTTAAAAAAATGGTTAAAAAGATGAATAATTTCACTTAATCGACTATGTTCAATGTAATACTAGCATTTTAGACTAACACTTATATAAGCTGATGTAATGATCTCCTATTCTTGGGGTTTTAGTTATTAGTGGTTTTCTTTCCTTTCTCCTTAGATGTAGATGTTCCCTTCCCATTTCTTCGTTGTAGTTTGTAGTTTATAGAAAATGCAATAAAAAATCCCCTTCTGGGGGCATTAAAAAAAAAACCTCCACAGCTTAGAGGGAGCATTGGTGGCGATCTAGACTTATTTTGGGGGCTGAGAGAGCTCTGGAAGAGCTGTGACTGACGCAAGGTCACCCAGCTGGCTACATGGGGAACAGCGTGGAATCAAACCCCCAGTTCTCCCAGGTGAGAGTCCGCCGCTCTTAACCACCACACCAGGCAACTTCGTGTGTGTCATGGTCTGTCACTGCAATGCTCTGGGGGAAAGACCCCCACACACAAAACGAGGCACGCCGAGAGTTCTCCCCATAGCCACGCGGTGCAGCTAAACACCCCCTTACGTTATTGTTGTAGTCGGCGGTGCCAGCAGTCCCCAGGATCTCCTCGTATCTCTGCAGGAAGGGCTGCAGTCGGCTTTCCACCCCACGGAGCTCCCCCAGCACCTCCACGTACTCAGCTGGCGACGGGTGGCTGTGGGGAGGGACGTCGATGGTCAGCCGTTGCCCAGGCCCAAACCCTTACTCATGCCACCCGGGGGACGCTGCCTGACCGCAGCCTTCCCACTGGACTGCCTCCTCGGATCTGCCCGGAGACAGGACTCTGCTCCATCCCTCTTGCTCTGTCCTCATCCCCCGCGCCAGCACTGTGACACAGCTGCTTCCTGGCTTGCCTGGACTCAGGGTCTCCCTCCTCCTCCTCCCCCTCCCCCCATGGACACCTGCTCCTTACTTGGGTGCGGCAGCCTCCGCTGCTGGGGGGGGCTCAGTCCCGGATGGGGGCGTCTCCTCGGCCGGCGTGGGCTCGCTGGGAGGCTCGGATTCGGCTCCTTCCATCGGCTCCCGTTCTGTCGGGCTGGCAGACGGCGCTTCCTCGGATCCTGGTGCGGCTTGGCTGCTGCCGTGACCCTGAAGCAGAGGGGCACGTGGAGGCCAAGGCTCGGAAGTGGAGTCCCCACCATTCGTGCCCCTTGCCTGTGCCCGTGTCGGAGCTTGCTCACCTCTAGCCGGTTCAGGATGCCCTGGACGTCCCGCAACATGTGCTGGGCCATGACGAGGCGGACCCGAGGCTCGCTCTGCAACAATGAGAGGGGAGATGCCGGGGATCAAGCCGAGGGCTCCACCCTGGCCCAACCCCAGGCCTCGCATTTTCCCTAATCAAAAGGATGATGAGGCTGCCTTCCTCGTCACCTGTTTAGCACCGCCTACCCACTCCCCTCAAGAATGGAGCTTAACAGAAGAACAAAAGAAGAGCCCTTCTGGATCAGACCAGTGAGGGTCCACCTGGTCCAGCATCCTGTCTCACACAGTGGCCAACCAGTTCCTCTGGGGGGCCGAAAACAGGGCACAGAGACCAAGACCTTCCCCTGAGGGTGCCTCCTGGCTCTGAGAATCAGAGGCTGAGTGCCTCTGAACGTGGAAGTTCCCCTCAGCCACCATGGCTAGTAGCCACTAATAGACTTCTCCTCCACAAAACAGAGGCCTGCTGGATCAGACCAGTGGTCCACCTGGTCCAGCACCCTGTCTCGCACAGTGGCCAACCAGTTCCTCTGGAGGTCCAACAACAGGGCACAGAGGCCGAGGCCATCCCCTGGTGCTGCCTCCTGACTCTGATATTCAGAGGCTTGGTGCCTCTGGACGTGGAGGCCCCTGGCCCCTTGACAAAAGAGCTGGTGGGCAGTGCAGAGTGGTGGCTGGAGCATCAGACTCTGCACGGGGCCGCCTCTCCTCTTCACAGCCCACCCTCTGGCTGGGAGGAGGCCATTCAAAGCCTGCCTTGCTCAGCCAGTGTTTGCATTCTGACTTCATTGAATATTTGGCAATACCTATTTGACTCCGGGTGCCAGCCCTAAGGCCACTGCCCACCACGCAGGCCCCGAGAAATGCTTTACAACCTGTAAGACTTATCAGCTAGTCGTTAATTACTGCTGGCGCTGACTTCCAATTAGGACCTAATCCCCCCACCCAAAGCATCAGAAATCCTCCCGAAATACTGAACCATGTCATGAACCTCCAAGAGCCGCCCAGCCCCGGGCAGACCTCCCAACCAGTGTTCCCTCTAAGCTGAGTCAGTGTGAGCTAGCTCACCGTTTTTTAGCCTCCAGCCCACAGATTGCTGTCTTGGCTCAGGAAGGAGGGCTGCAGAGCAAACTAATTTATACAGTAGCCAAATCGCTCGCTCACAACTTTAATGGCCGGTAGCTCACCAAGCAGGATTTTTGCTCACAGGACTCCACGGCTTAGAGGGAGCATTGCTCCCAACCCTAACACCCCAGTCCACACCAGCCTCCCCGCCCCACGTCTTGTACCTGTACAGGAGCCTGGTCCATATTTATATGAACGTCCACAGACGATCCATCGCTCTTTGGAAAGCAGGTGGATGGAAAAAAAGGGAGAGACAGGAGGGGAAAATTAAAAGGAAACAAAAAGGAGAGAAAGAATGAGAGATGGAGGGAAAAAAGAGAGAACAAAACAAAGCCGAAAGGAAGGCAAAGAATCGCAGGAGACCAAACTACCATACCGCCTGGAACCTTCACCCCATTGTCAGCGCCTCCGCCTGACGTTACATGGTCTACCTGCCCTTAACATGTTGTGCACTGACTACATATAAATAATCTACCTCTCCCCTTTTTTGGTTCTGATTTCTCCTTTACAAAGTGAGGCTTTGCGGCTGAACTATGTACCAAAAGCTTCCTCATAATCGCTGTTCTATCATTTTACATCGCATCACAGCTGCTGGAATTGTGTTTGCGAGGCACTAGAGACAAAAACCCACTCCGACAAGAACGGATACAAAAAAGCATAGAGACTTCTCAGCTGATTAAAACTGACTGTTCTAAGGAATGGGAAAGACACACAACAGACTAAACTGATCTGGAAACCAGTAAAGCAAAACGTACATTGGCTTATTAAGTAGGATCTTTTATTCTGTCTCGCTTCCTTACGTTTAATTCTCATATGGATTTTTCTCTTTCCTTGATATACACATAAATAATCTTATTCTATGTAATGCTCTCTCCTGGTTAAGACGTTATTTTAGTGGTATCCAGGGAGCCGTGGGTACACCACACTACCATTAAAAAAAATTCAATTCCCGTGGATAAATCCGAATTCTGTGCCAGGGCAGGCAAGAGTTCAGCAACCTGGGCGTGTCATGGCAAATGGGTATTCTTTGATTTTGCAACCTTTATTCTGACTAGGCTGGTCGCAGGAAGGGCAATGCAGGGTTCTAGAGCTCTACTGCCAGCCAGAACACTAGCTGCCAAAATTTCAACTGCTGACGTGCTGTCAAGGATGCCTTTGCAGCCATGAGAGCTAGAAACTTGACTTTAAAAAAATAACAAAAACAGCAAAAGCACAGATGATCAGGCGGCTGACTTCTGCCCACTTGCTACCCTTCTTATTTCATTACAAGACTTTCCCTTCTCCAATGTGTTTCTGCACAACTGGGGCACAGGCGTGGCCTTGGCTTTGTTAGCCCCTCGCACCTCCCAACAGGTTTGAGGTACCATCCCCCTCAGTGAGGAGGGGAGCTGGATCAAGGGCTTTTTCGGGCAACACCCCCTACACACACACACACACTCTGTGGAACAGGCCACTTTGAACAGGAGAGGGTGTGGCATCTCGGCCATTTTTCAGAAAAAGGCGCAAGGCAGAGTTTCCCAAGAAAGCTTCTTCTTCTTTGCTGAATTGCTGTGCCGTTTTTAGTCTTATCAGCTATGTTGTTTTCAACTCCAGACTGTGTTTTAAGGGCTGGTTTGCTGAAACGGCTTGGAGCGCTGGGGAAAAGCGGTTGACAAAATAGCATAAATAAGTTCTGAAGCGGACAAACACAGGCTCACAGACGGGACCAGCTCACAGCTAGCCGCTTTCCAAAGGGATCCTCCACTGGGCTATTTCGCCCTTTGCGCCAAACGCAAACCACTGACAACTTCTTTGGCAAGGCGGTGTAATTTAGCACTCAAATCGCGGGAAACCCACAATAAGCAACTTGAGAGAATGCCTCCACCGATCCTAGTGCTACAGTCAGAAGAATATTAGCACGCATGAGTCATTGCACAAGCAGCCTTCGCACCGAACACTCCAAGCCTTGTTTCCACTGCTGCCACCAGCGAAGGCCGTGCAGGCTGCCCAGAAGAGCCAAAACACTCAGGATGCCAAAGCTCAGGAGACTGCAGAAGACTGGTGGGAGGCCAGCCTCCTCATGTGTACCTTTAAGCCTCCCGATGCAGCACGTCTAAGGCAGTCACTGCGCCCACCAAACCTGTTCCGTTTCCTCAGCAGCAGTGAGCAAGTCCCTGGACATGCCACGCAGCAGATGAGTGACAGGACAGGGAGAGAACGTGTAGGATGGGACTGCGACCGCCTTCTCTTCCGCTAGGCCACAAGGGGCAGAGGTGAGTGTCCTCCATGGCCAGACCCAGACATCAGCACCCGCTACTACAAGCCCCATTCTGGACAGACACGGCAGGGCACGGCGAGGGCATCGTGTTGCCAGAAGCCACGTCATCTCAGCGCCTCCTGCCTGCTGGTGCCTCCCCCCCACACACACACTGCAGCCCACACAGCACAGCAATGCAGCGCCCCCTGCTGTTGCTTGAATAGACACGGCAGGTGAGGGCATCGTGTTGCCAGAAGCCCCGTCATCTCAGCGCCCCCTGCCTGCTGGTACCTCCCCCCACACACACACACTGCAGCCCACGCAGCACAGCAAGCTGCAATGCAGCGCCCCCTGCTGTTGCTTGAACCACGGGGAGGGGGCAGGAGACTCCCCCGTTGCCCCTGCAGAACAGCACCCTCTGGCTAAAACTCACTTGTGTGGGTGGCTGCGGGTCCATAATGCTTACTGGTAAGTTGAAGGTTCCCACCATGACGTAGCTGTTGGCGTTGCGGTCGTGCACGGTGGGGCCCGTCCCCCGGGAGCCCGTGCCGTTGTGAGGGACCGGCGAGGGGCCCACTCCGGAGGGGCCCCCCGAGGAGGGCGACTGCGTCTGGGGAGGTGCGCGTTCCACCAAGTGGATGACTTTGCCGCCGACATCTGGAATTGAGGCCATGAAAGCAGAGCATGTCAGAAGAATCTGTGAGAGGTTCTCGGGCTCTCCGGCGCGGCGTAACTGCCGCTTCCAGCATTCACTCGCACAGAATGATCAAGCAGCAGTCACTAAAAAGACACCCGTTCAAACCCGTATAATAGCTCGGGGCCAAACCTACACCCCACCTCACCCTCTTTGCCCTTCCCGCGTCTTCTGATTTACGTTTCTGAAAACACTGGGCTTTGATATGGACAGCTTCACGTGCCATGTCATCTGTGCCTGAGTAACCAGCAATCACAAGCACACCCCGCAGTTCATTCAGAGAGAACACAAGATGCTGCATTGTATGGAGCCGTTAGGCTGCTGGTCCACCTACGGCTCCCCAGGGTCGTGGACAGAGAAGGACTCCCCTTGCCTTCTGAGATTCAGAAGCCAGGCACTGAAAATCTGAGGAGCGAACTTGCCTGCAAGCCGCATACCCTTATGCTGAGCCACAGCTCTACACTGCAGGGCTTCCATTTACCTGTTGTTAAACTGCCATTCTAGAAGCGTTTTCCAGTGTTTGTCAGAGCTTTGACCTTACCTATGATGCCCTCTGCCCACGCTAAAGCCCCGCAGGTCTCCCAGACACCGCCCCACCCCCCTTCCCCCTCCATCAGCCCCCTCCTCACTGTATTCCTTCAGCTTCTTGTCGTCTTGCAGGACTCTCCCTTGATAGATGAGGCGCTGCTTTTCGGAAGGGATATTGACCGAGCCCGCAATGTGCTCCTTGAACTCTTTGACTGTAATCTGCAAGGAAACAAAACTGAGAGAGGTCCAGTGGGCAGCCTTCCAGCCCCATCACTGCCCTCCCCCCCCCAGGAGTCTTCCCTTCCACCAAAGTAGTCTCACTCTAAACCCGCTGGGGACGAGGGACACACTCTGGGGTAGAGATGTGAAGGCCCGGAAAAAACCCGGAAAAATTCGGGGGGGAAACGTTTTTTTCCTGAAGCCTTTTTTGTTTTTTTCCGAAAAATTGGAAAACTTGAAAAAAGAAAAGAAAAAAAATTAATTATGGAACGTTTTATTTTAACATGATAACATATTTTAAGACAAGGTGTTCAAATATTTTCCAAATCATTTCTAAAATATATATGGTATCAGATTGATCTAATTTCTGTGCACTGAGGACAAGCAAGTCCTAGGTTACAAACTGAACTCTCCAATGCAAGAACAAGATGCATTTCTTCCTTTAGGAGGTGCTATTGTCAGAAGAAAATAAAAAAGTTTCAGTTTTGTTTTTGCATGTGTGTGGGTATTCTGTTTGTAATAATTGTTTGGATACACTATATTTTTAATATGCTAGTTGTGATAATTTCATGCCAAGTAAAAATGTCCATAGTCATATTTTATGTTCCTAAAGTAACAGAATGACTTTCAATCTAGAAAAGACAAAAGAAATGCTAATGTAGCTTTTTTTTCAATTTTTCCGAAAATTTCCGTTTTTTTCTGGAAAAAAACGGGTTTTTTTCCGAGCTTCAAAATTTCCAGAAATTTTACATCTCTACTCTGGGGTACGGTTCCAGACCACTGTTAAACGGCAGTGTGGAAGCCCAGGAGAGAAAAGCATTAGAAGATAATCCAGTCCTCCCCCATTAAAAGCCAGACAACGTGCTCATCTTACAACAGCAGTCAACCTGTGGCACAAGAGCCATGGGGAGTGAGGACTGGTGGCACAGTGGAGGAGGAATACAAGGCCCCAGGGGCTGGCTGCAGCATGGCCAGAGTGTAGCACTATCAGTGATGTACCACAGATATCACCCACCACCACCACCCCACCACTGTCCTCCAATGTACAAAAGCATGATTTAACGGACGGAACTTATACTGGGATCCAGTCAGGCAAGTCAACCACCATTCTACGAGACCAGACTGGAGGCACGTCAAATCCACTGCTACTGATGTCCATTCTCCCCATCCCACCCCCCTGGAAAATGCACAAAAAAACTGTAAGTCACAGTAAGATACACAGCACAGAACGCTCAAGGAGGATAGGAAACTAGGACCCAAATATTTTAACAAGACAGAACCCTGGGCCAGAGCAATCCCTCTGCAGTGGTCCAGGAAGGTTGCCCCCCCGACTTCACCCTCCCAGCCGCCAGCCTCTCCAGGAATGCTCACCTCTGCCTCCACCGTGAAGGTCCTGGTCTGCGAGTCCAAGGTTTTCACCATCACCTCGAGGTTCTCCGGCTCTGCCATGGTGCCTTGGCAAACGCTTCCTCCCGTCCTCCTGCGAGACAGGGAAATGGGTGAGTCTTGTCCCTGGAGACTGTAGGCAAAGACCACAAATCCCCAGGCACGCTTGACGGTAGGGAAAACCAAAGAGAGTTCAGGGAGGAGGAGGAGAGACTGAACACACCTGCACCATTTGCTTTCCAGACAGCTCTTGAGATTTCCTCCCATTTTTATCCCCCCTCCCCTCCAAGGAGCTCAGGGCAGCACCCATGGCCCTCTTCCTCCTCTGTTTTATCCTGGCGACAGCGGCTCCTGCTGAGCCTCGTGGCTTAGTGAGGATGGAAGTCTCCCAGGCCCTAGTCAAACTGCCTAACCTGCACTGGCTCTATTAGACTTCAGAGGGTACCACAGACAAGACATTTGTACAGCTGCTTCTGGTAAAGTGCCATGCTAGTCTGTATCAGCCAGATCCACAATGGATTTCCCAGCCCGCAAAGGATGAACATGTTTATTGTGGCACAACATTTAGTGGGCCAGACCCCACCTCATCAGATACACAAGCTGTTATGCTCAGGAGATGGAGAAACAGATAAGACACAGAAATCCACAGCCGGGAACAGCAGAGCTGATGCAATTGGTCCTGGTCTCAAAAGGGATCAAGAAGAGCTAGCTCGCTGCTGAAAGTAATAGTCCCTCCTTGGTGGTTTGCATGCACTGTTCATGCTTGGCCACTTCACAAATTCCATACCCACTCTGTCTGGATCCTATACTCGTGACCGGGTCTTGTTTTCACTGGCGCTCTGCATCATAATATGACAAATTGATGTTTCAGATTGGCTGTGCCTTCAGGGGCCTCTCTTTGGAATAGTATTCCAACCCCCCCTCTCTATCTGTCTGCCCCCATGTGGATATATACACACACAGCACACATGCCAACAAAGGGTAAAGCTTCTTGCACCCGATAAAGTGGCCTTTGAACCACAAAAGATTGTGCCACAAATTAAGCATGTTATCCTTTAAGGTGGCACAAGACGCTTCATCCCGTATAGAGGAAGGCTCCAAGCTTTGCTCAGCAGAGCAGCAGGATGCATGCCATGCCAACCTATACAACCACACAAAAAACACATCCCGGAATATAATAATTTCTCACTCTAAAAAGCTAAACTGAGGGTTTGTATTCTTTGTGTTAACCTTTCTTGAATACTAGGAATGCAGGGCAGATTCAGGTGGATAGCCATGTTGGTCTGAAGCAGAACAAAGTTCGAGTCCAGTGGCACCTTTAAGATCAACAAAGTTTTATTCAAGGTATAAGCTTTCGTGTGCGTGCACAGTTCTTCAGGTACACTGAAGAAATGTGTATGCACACAAAAGATTATACTTTGAATAAAACTTTGTTGTTCTTAAAGGTGCCACTGGACTCGAATGCAGGAGTAAATGCAAATTTAAAAATAACTCCCAATGCTCGTGGAAGTGGTTTGTTTTTTGGGAGCTGTTTCTGTACCTAAGACATACTGCCGCCTGATGAAAAGAGCCTGCAGTTCTGACAGACAAAGCTGTGCCTAGCCACAAGAACATCTACCAAAGCTGGATTTGGTGCAGTGTTGTGAAACGGACCCCTCGCATCTCTCACCGGTGCCCGTGGTGCTTTTCTTCCTTCTGATTCTGTGAAGTGTCAATTACTCTGATTCACTATATGAATAGTTCATGCTTCCATTTCAGATGTCTAGTTGCTGGATGTATACTAGCTAAATCTTAACACACTAAATAAATATTTGAATATGATCATGGGCTTTTCAGGTTGTCGAAAGAGTTAGTATTTCCGTGTTTGTTTGGCTGGTCAAGGTGCTAGAGCCTATGAAATCGAGCTGCTTGTTCCCTGAAGAGTAGCTCATTCCCTGAAGAGTAAGTATACCTTTGTAAATGGATCTGTTTTACTCCTCAAAAATATTACTCATACCACACCAACAGTGCCTAAAGCGGCATACATAAAGTGCTCCACAGCATAAAATTGCACTCTGAGTTGTACAGCATGCCTTGGGACTGTGGAGAAAAGATGCATTCACAAAGGATGCCCATTCTTTCTTGATCGAGGAATTTTCCAGAGAAGGTGAGCTAGACAAGCAAATCAGGCAAATAACAGTTGTGTTGCCAGTCCACAAAAGACCATTCTGTAGCCTGTCAGCATACACCTACACCTATCTTAACCAAACTTTAAGCAAGAGCCACTTGCTTTCCACACAGAAGGTCACTGGCTGAACTGCTAGCATCACAAAAGACCTCAAGCAGGATGGCTGGAACCCACCCCTCATCCTGAGGCCCTGCTGAACTGTTGCTAGTTAGAACAGACCAATACTGGGCTTGACAGACTGTATCAGTGCAAACCAACTTTATTCATAAACAAGTTTTTAAAGAGTCCATACCCCAATGCCACCTAGAGCTAATTCCAAATCAGGACAGAAGCCAGTCTACGATCCTGCCCTGAAACTGTAATAACCTTTTCAGGACAGGGCTGGGAGAAAGAAAGCAGACACTTCCAACATCACTATCTTGTTTTTTGGAGAGGTCCTTACACAGTTAAGTTCCTGCGTATTGATTCATATTGTGTAAACGCCATGGGAAAAAAACTGACAGGCCCTCATTTTTTAAGACTGGGGGTGCTAGGAATAATGTAACGGTGACCCAAGATTTAAAAAGACGAACAATCATTTAGCTAGACTACTTAAGACTCCATTAGAGAGCTTCCACTTGCTATACTTTCTGCACTATTGATGGATCACTGTATAAGCAACACCTCATTAGCCAGTACAATGTCTGAGTGTCGGGAACCCAGATTCACATCTCCACCCAGCCTTAGGCAAGTGTTGCAGCTGAACCAAAGCTGGGCCATCCCCTTAAGTATTTATTTATTTACAAAATGTATATCCCACCTTTCTGCCATCACCAAGGCCAACAAGGTAGCTAATAAGTTTAAACATACATGATAAAACCACATTTTAAAACTATTAAAAGTATGCAACCCTGCATTCCCAAGACAATATGAAATCGGGAAATGTACATAACCTTTTTCCAGCTTTAACACCTTAAGCTATCAGATCAACTGGCAGATGCATTATGGCAAACAGCAATTTTTCAGACATATTCTTCAGGGGATCATATTAAAATGTGTTGGAGATGTGGGAGGCCAAATCCATTTCATAATTGCAGTTTTCAGAGTTGGATTTCATTCACCGTTGTGTACTAAAACTAAATTCCTCCTGGGCAGCAGCAACAGCAGTCTTCCCTCCGCATTCAGCTCATAAATCCATCTCAAAACCAACATCCTTTGTGAAACGTTATATATCTTGATAGCATCATAGTTTATCTGAATTGCATGGGAAAGTAATTCTATTCAATACCTTCTCTCTGACCACACAACATTTCTCTATTACCTGACAGCAATACCTAGGAGGATACCAGAATGCAGCCTCTAAGTACTAAATTAGCTAAAGCTGGAAGGAATGCACTGTAAGAAGGTTAAAAGGGAGGACGTGACCCAGTCAACTCATCAAAGCCCAATGCCAGGAAACCCTCCCAACTAAAACACAACTAATTCTCCCCACCACTGCTTTGTTACCAGGGCCTAGCTACATGTAGGTAGATGGCAGCGGTCAACCTAGAACTTCAAAGACTTATTACATTTTTTTGTTTTTCCTCCAAGGAGTCCAGGAAAGCCTGTAAGATTATCTCTTCCTCTGCTCTACCCTTAAAACAGTCCTGCTACACAGTTTAAGCTGCAACAGGGCCAGGCTCACCCAGAGAGCAACACAGCAAGGCAGGGATCTGAGCTTCTACAGTCCATCCCCGGTACTCTAACCAGTACAACACACTAGCTCCTTCTCGAGGAAAATCTAAAGCTTCAGGGTCAGGAACCAGAATTGAAGGAAAGGGGAAGAATAAAGAAACAGAACCCATTTTCTGCTTGGCTTGGAGATTTTGCCACTTGGTTTCCACACGTGCCGTCTTATCCCCCATGAATACGGAGGCATCATCTACTACCACCGCCAAGCGCCACCCCCTCAGTTGCCAGACAGCTTCAATCCTTCCACAAATGTAAACACACGCATACGAAATAACATATTACGTACACTCGAACCTTCAATAGCTACAGAGACGAAAATATCTTCCCCTCTCCCTTTTCCACACACCCCTTTCACTTATTTATTTGGTACACAGGACCCCCAACAGTATTGTCTTCTAACCTGGCCCCGGGACCTTCCACTTTCCGTCAAGGAAGGGACCGATTCTCCGTCCCGAAGGCCACTTCCGCTCAAAGACACTACACTTCCGCTCCCACATCCGACGACAAACTGGAGTTACGCGCAGCCTACACTTCCGGTAAAGAAACGGACAACTCCCCCCCCCGTGGGCAATGGTCCTCCACAGACGTATTATGACGTCAGTCTCTCCGTCGCCATCTCTATAGTGAAGGTTACAGAGAGGAAACCCATTCGTTTTACGACCGGAAACGCCGACAACGTCCCAGTACAGTATTTCGCACTCCACTTCCAACTATGTTGAGGTCTTTTTTGCACCATAGAGATGGCACACGATAGAGCGACGCCACTATGAGCCAATGATAGCAACGGTTACCGGAAGCGGCGACTCTGTCGCTCTAGTCTCCTTTCCTGCCTTTATTATTTATTCATCTCTATGCCATTCACTTGCCTCGTCTCCAAGATGGCGGAACTTCCGCTTCCTTCGATGAGAGTACGTAAAAGGGTCAGCTCGGTAAACCGAATTCTTTGGACTTGTTTTCTTTGTCGCTAAATTTCACCGCTTGAAGTCTACGAGACTCTGGAATGGCCGTCTGGAGGAGGGGGGAGCCGCCACCGGCCCCGCGCCTGAAGCGTCTCCAGCCTCTGAATGTCGCAGCCTTCCTTAGCGAGTCACTACTGCGCATGCGCCAGTAGTCAGGCCCGCTCGCTTATTAATCCCCCCCGCCGCCAGTTTTCTCGTATAGGTGGCTATAATAATTCCTGTAGTTTTCTAACAACTTCAAATCACTATACCAGCGAATCCCATTTAATTTCATTGAGCCATGTTTTTATGAATCTATTGAAAACCACTCATGATACTTTAGCAGAGTCTGCAGAATTAATAAACATTTTAGTGCACGTTGGTGGGACACGTAGGCGCCTGCGCAATAGCCACTGCATGAGCTCACTATTTTCTGGTGACGCAGACCGGCAGGGTTACCCGCTGGAATCTATCTTCGCGGTAGTATCTGTTGAGGGGGCGAGAGGGACCAGCGTGCGTGAACGTCAGCCATGTTTCCTGCGGGCGAGTCTCTCGTTAAGCAAACGTGGTGAGGCGAGATTGTCCGCCACCTTGGGAACGGGGAGAGAGGAAAGGGAAACTTGTCCGCCATATTTGTTTAGGATAGCTGGCTCCTCATCGTGGGAGAAATCCTTTGGCCGCCATTTTTGTTTAGCCCGTATCCTAGCAACTGATGGAAGAATGGGAAGACTTGTCTTGAACAGCTACCTTTAGAACATAAGAACATAAGAGACGACGAATGGGAAGACTTGTCTTAAACAGCTACCTTTAATGTAACCCGTAAAGGAATGTTGATGTAACAACTGTGCCATCAATTTAAAAAAAACAAAAACAGATTCCAATGTCCCCTTAAAGACGGACATCATTTATTTATTTGAGTCAGAGCCACTCCGACATAGGAAAGCCCATGCGAGAATGAATTTTGTTAGTCTGTGAGAGACCGCTTGACTTCTGTTTTATGTTGCAATAGATTAGCATGGCTACCTGTTATTTTTTTAAAAGTTTTTTATTTTTCATAACAAACGGCAGATGTTAAAGCAGGCTGCATTTACAGCCTGCGCCACCGCTCCCTACTGCTGGAGCTCCGCTCCTGTGTGCTCCTGCAGGAAATGGCCCCTGGGGATAATACTACTATTAACATGGCTATTGAAAGGATTGCTGTGTGCCTTAAACACCAAAACACTATAGAGAACCTTTAAGGTTTTATATTGCTGGCTATGCGCTGTAACAATAAAATTCATTCATTCACTATAGAGAACCAATGTGGTGTAGTGGTTGAAAATATTGAACCAGGATACAGGCTCAGATCCCTACTCGTGCCATGGAAGTTGGATGACCTTGGGCCAGTCACACATTCTCAGCCTAACCTACCTGTTAAATAGTGGGTTCCATGGATGAGCAGGCTCGAGTCTAGTGATCAGTTCAAGTTTATTTGTGATTTCAGCAAGAGGACTCCAGAGCCACAGCTCTGTTAAATAGCATGCAATTGCCACACCCAAACACACCCCACTCCCAATAATAGGCTATTTACATAACATTACTACTCGAATGGTTACTTTCAGAATCCTGGCAGGCTATTGTTCTTCTGCTTCAAGCTCAGCCAGTCTCTGAGGTGATTCAATCAGGAATGATTCAATCCCAATACATAACACTACCCCTCTGGGATCATCATGAAGACAACATATAAGCGTTTGTAAACCAGGAGATGGTTCGTGCATTTCAGATGAAGTGGGCTCCAGCTCATGAAAGTTTGTACCACTGGTTGCCAACCTCCAGGTGGAGCCTGGAGATCTCCCCGAATTATAATTGATCTCCAGACTACAGAGATTTATTTCCCTGGAGAAAGATTGATTTCCCTGGAGAAAATGGCTTCTTTGGAGGGTGGACTGTATGGTATATCTTGCTGAGGCCCCATCCCTCCCCAAATCCTGCCCTCCTCAAGCTCCACCCCCAAAATCTCCACGAATTTCCTAACCGGTAGCTGTCAACCCTACATTATTGTGTCGGATAGAGAGATTTTACATCACTTACTGTGTGATTCTTTTAACTGCCCAGAGTTTGAACCAGGGACCTTCTGTATGTGAAGCAGATGCTCTACCACTGAGCTACCCTTCCCAATAAAGGGGATTCCCCTAGAAAAGTTTTGGCCTGGCACCTAAAGGGCAGTAAGGCAAGGCATTTTACAGACAGGGTGCCACCACTAAGATGCCCTGTCTTTGATCACCACCTGCCTCGCCTCTGTAAGCCAGGGAGGGTGCAGAGAGCATTGCTTGGGAGGAAACTGTTAATTGGCAGCAGGCTTGTGAGCCTCCAGGTGGGAGGCCATTAGAGCTCCCAGTATTACAAGTAATCTCCTCCTTATTCTTATATTCTTATTGGTTTCTTATCTCATTACATATGCCAGTTTGATGTAGTGGTTAAGTGTGCAGACTCTAATCTGGGAGAACTGGGTTTGATTCTCCACTTCTCCACTTGCTGGATGACCTTGGGCAAGCCATAGTTCTGTCAGAGCTGTTCTTGAAAGAGCAGTTCTCGAAAGAGCTCTCCCAGCCCCATCTACCTCACAAGGTGTCTGTTGTGGGGAGGGGAAGGGAAAGGAGTTTGTAAGCTGCTCTGAGACTTCTAGTGAAGGGTGGGATAGAAATCCAATCTCTTCCTCTCTAACTCATTGAGTCCTCACATATGTATTCTCAACAAGGACTATAAATCCTCTATATTTTAGTGTTTTTCTTTTTCGGAATAGGATATTAGAATACTGAATGTAATGCCAGGAATACTGGGATGTTTTGTTGACATGACACTGCATCCACCTCAAAAAGTGCTGTTAAGTGGTCTCCACGCCTGGGAGGAGAGGATGGAGATTCTCATTTTGCTTCACACAATTAGAAAAGACACCTTTAGACATTTATCTCCTATTCAGACTTATTTATTGCTTTACAACTGTTGACCTTATAACCTTAGCTTGTTATTTTTGACTCTGCATATCTTAAACACCATCATGTTACATGTTAATTTCCCTGTCTATAAGTTTGACCCTTACCCACCATTCCAGTGTATTTGAAAAAGTGTGCATACCACGAAAGCTCATACCTTGAATAAATCTTTATTGGTCTTAAAGGTGCCACTGGACTCTAAATTTCTTCTACTGCTTCAGATCAACACAGCTGACCACCTGGATCTATCTTTTGGAAAGATGATAGGCAAAGTGCCTTTGGACATTGTGTGGATGAGAAACTGCACCTGTCCTGCCCACATCGCCACCATTTTCCTTACCATATTACCTGCAGCAGCCATTTCACTCATTTCTTGAGAACTTTTTTAAATTTGGCAACAGCTATATCACTATAACTTTATAACATTATAATGATCTATTGCAACAATGTCCTAGATCCCATATTAGGAATTCATGGAGAGAAGGGAGATATAATTAATTGTTTTACAGTATTGTAAGCTTCCTTGAGGAACTTATAAAGTCATAGAGAGTTCACCTATGTGTTTAGAAAAAAACCAGGCAGGGTGGTGAATGATTTGGAAGATATAGGGGAAGGGCCATGGCTCAGCGGTAGAGCCCCTGCTTGGCATGCAGAAGGTCCCAGGTTCAATCCCCGGCATATCCAGTTAAAAGGTTGGGGCAGTAGGTGATGTGAAAGACCTCTGCCTGAGACCTTGGAGAGCTGCAACCAGTTAAAAGGTCAGGGCAGTAGGTGATGTGAAAGACCTCTGCCTGAGATGTTGGAGAGCTGCTAGTCGAGTAGACAGTGCTGACCTTGACGGATCAACCAGGCTTACCAAGTACTTACCGTGATTCGGCAGGGGACACATACTTCTTCCCAGGAGCATTGAACACAGATGCGCTGCGCCATGCCATTGCCAGGAAGTGACGCCAGGCGACGCTCTGGCAATGGGGCTGGAAACTCGATGGAGCATTGAGTTTTCAGCCCCATTGTCAGAGCGTCGCCCAGCGTCACTTTCTGGCGACGGCATGGTGCGTTACAGGGAGGAATGTTCCAGCTAGGGATCACGTGTCCCCCGCCGAATCACGGTACGTACTTGGTAACCTAGGATCAACAGTCCAGTTCAGTATAAGGGAGCTTCATGTGTGTTTAAGATGCTTTGGGCCCTTTTGTGGATTTGACAGCTATTGTCATTATATGTCCCAGTTTTAGTGGGGTGCCCAGGTAAATTCTGATATTTGTTTGTTTATTTTGGCTCCTAGCCCCCCCCCCTCCAAGCAGGCTCAGGATGGGTTACAACAATATATACACAACATAATCTCAGCCATTTAAAACATAATAAACAATTTACAATTCAGTGTCTCAATTTACACAACACTAATAGTCCACTATTGATGGCACCAATAATACATCTACTCCTGGGCTCCCTGTGTGTGCACAGGTAGATGTAACTAAAGCGGAGAAGGGGCGGGCAGACGAGATCAAGTGGCTGATGGAAACAACACATGCGACGCGGGGGGGGGGGGGGGGGGGAGGCCAATACAATAAGGAACTGGCCTGTGAGCAGGGACAGTTCGGCGGTGGGAGGAGCACAACCGTGCAGGTGTGGGGCGACGTCTGATGAGACACAGCATTCTCATCCGGAGAGATGTGGGAGGCCAAGCTTTCCTCAAAGCCTTCCCCTCCACTTCAGTTTTTTGCAAGGTCAGGTCAGTGAAAAGTAAAAACAGCTCTAATCCATGACCTGCTCTTCAAGGAGCAGATTGACCTGGTGTGCTTGACCAAAACTTGGCCAGGGGAATCCTCTCTCGGTTGGATTTAGCTCTGTGGGTGTACCGTCTGTCCTCAATTCTGAATTAAAGCACTGGGGCGGGGCGGGGGAGTAGCAGTGGCCATTCAAGACTTTCTCCTGCTGCAGGTTCGTGGTTCAGATACTGGCCAGGTTTGCATGTCCTGCACTTAGGGCTGCCATACAGACCTGTAGCCAGGATTTTTTTGTTCAGGGGGCATTTAAATTTTCGAGGGGGCAGTTAAATTACATTAGTAGTTGTAGATTTTCCAGGTAGTATGGCCATAGTCTTGGCATTGTAGGACTTGTTAACAGTTAAATTAAAGGTAAAGATTCCCTTGCTTGAAAGCCAGTCAAATCCGACTCTAGGGTTGCGGTGCTCATCTCTGTTTCAAAGCCGAAGAGCCAGCGCTGTCTGAAGACGTTTCCGTGGTCATGTGGCCAGCATGACTAAACACCAAGGCGCACGGAACGCTGTTACCTTCCCACCAAAGTGGTACCTATTTATCTACTTGCAATTTCTTGCTTTTGAACTGCTAGGTTGGCAGGAGCTGGAACTAGAGACAGGAGCTCACTCCGTCATGCGGCACCCAGGTCTCGAACTGCTGAACTACCGACAATCCACAGCCTGCAGTTCAGCGTCTTAACCACTTGAGCCACCACAGCTCCTACAGTTAAATTACAATTAATTAAATGAATCCAAATGCCTGTCTTTAAGGGGGGAGGCTCCAAACCTGTTTCTAGCCCTTCCTTTCAAGAGATAGGGCAGCGAGCACATCAGTTCCTAGGAAGAAAAATAAGAGATTGGATTTATACCCCGCCCTTCACTACCCAAAGGTGTCTCAGAGCAGCTTACAAACTCTTTTCCCTTCCCCTCCCCACAACAGACACCCTGTGAGGTAGGTGGGGCTGAGAGAGCTCTGATGGAAACTGCTCTTTTTTTCAAGAACAGCTCTTATCAGAGCTACGGCTTGCCCAAGGTCATCCAGCCAGGTGCAAGTGGAGGAGTGGGGAATCAAACCCGGTTCTCCCAGATTAGAGTCCGTGCACTTAACCACTACACCAAACTGGCTCAGAGGGAAAAACAACTCAGAGGACATTTAAATTTGAGTTCCACAGGGCAAGAAAGCACAGAAGGGCACTCAAGAGTGGCACCTTCAATACATCTCCAGCAATCCCCATTTCTGCAACTCCAGTCCTGATGTATACCACCTAGGTCATGGTGAGGCTTTCAAAAGCATTCCCATGACCCTCTGGGAAACATGCAGGCAGCGGACAGGGGTCCCTCCTCAAAAATAAGGTTTCTGAAACGGCTATTTGTGGGGAAGGGCTTTTAATTAAGGGGGCAGGGCCCTGAAATGCCCCACTGTGGCTACGGGCTTGGTTGCCAACTTCCAAGTATGACCTGGAGAGAACCCCCCCCCCGTAGACTTTGTCAGGGTTAAATAACGACACTACACACACAACAGATTTCTTGAAGCTGCACATCAGCTCTGTCTCTCTCTCTGTACCAAGCTCCCTGTTCATCCGAACTGACAGGCTGAGAGCAGTGTTTTATTTTAGAGGAAAAAGCAAGCTTACCCTTTGCACAGTGAAATCGTTACAACAGAGCAAAAGACTTTTTGAGCTAAAAAGCACAGTGTATTTCACAGAATGTTCTTTTCTCATAGCTCAAGTTATCCAGCTTAAATGTTGCAGATCTTGTGCTCTCTCTCTGAGTTATTTAACAGTCTCATGCAGACTCAGCAAAGATTGTCTGCTGCTTGCCAATCTCCCGTTGCCAATCTTCCTGTGAGAGTGTCCCGGTGGGAACTTGAACTTTGACCTGGGAAGCCTGAACTTTGACCTGGGCATGCCTCGCAGGATTTTGTTCAGACCCCACACACACACCCCGAATGACAACTCATCTCCAGAATATAGACTTCCATTCGCCTGGAGAAAATGGCTGGTTTGGAAGGTGGATCCTATGGCATTGTAGGCCACTGAGGTTCCACCCCTCCCTAAATCCCACCCTCCCCTGGCTCCACCCCAAATCTCCAGGAATTTTCCAACCCAGAGTTAGCAGCCATATCTGTACCTAGCAAGAGGTTGGGCTTCCCACTGCCTAGCTTGCCAGTGGGTGCCTCAGCTAAGCTTGCCCACATGATTTCTGGTCAGGTCTTGGAAAGCCCAGCACTTGTAGTCCTTGGGGATTTCAACATCCATACAGAAGCTGCTGTGGGTTAGGGTTACCATGGAAACCATGGGCCTGTCCAAGGTTGCGATGGGCCTAACACATTGTCAAGGTCATATGCTAGATCTACTCTGCTACTCTCCCTGGGGCTCAGATGTGCTGAGGGAGCAGGAAAGGGTAGGGAGACTTTGAGAGTAGGGGGAAATGTAACTGACTCAGACCGATCAGACATCACAGCCTGCAGGGAGAAGGTGCTTCAGCCTCTGCTTCCCCATCCTGCAATGTTTTCATGACCAGAAACAGCCCTGGGGAATGGCTGTTTGTCCTGTTGGGAACCATACATGGACAGCTACAGATAGGTTACCTCATCAAAGGACACAGCAGCAGAGGAAAGACTGCCCAGCCCCAAAAGGCATCTGATTATGGGATTTTCATCTTTCTGGATTGGGGTTACCAGTCTCCAGGTGGTGGCTGGAAATCTCTCGCCATTACAACAGTTCTCCAGGCGACAAAGATCTAGGGTTGCCAGGTCTGACTTGGGAAATACCTGGAGACTTGGGGGTGGAGCTTGGGAAGGGTGGGGTCTGGGGAGGGTACAATGCCATTGAGTCCACCCTCCAAAACAGCCATTTTCTCCCAGGGAACTGATATGTATTGGCTGGAGATCAGTTGTAATAGCAGGAGATCTCCAGGCCACACCTGGAAGTTGGTAACCCTGCAAAGATCAGTTCCCTTGGAGAAAATCACTGCTTTGGAAGGTGGACTCTGACGTTATACCCCACTGAAGTCCCTCCTCTCCTCAGGCCCCACCCCCAAATCTCTGGTTATTTCCCAACCTGGACCTGGCAACTCTATTCTGGATTCTTTCTTTTTATATATATAGTCACCACGGCATCAGCTTAATATGGCCCTACTTTGTGGTTATGAATCTGTATCCCACCGGTGCTCAAGCACAGAATGTTCAGAAAGGGTGCAGCTTCTGTAAGGCAAGTGAAAGGGCAAGTTGGCTGGGGATGACATGACAACCTCACACAGATTCTGGGGACGGGACGAGCTGTGTGCTGCTACTGGCCAAAAGGCAGAAGATAGACAAGGATGCTTTGGAGGCAAGGGCAGTCGGGAAGCAGGGCGAGCAAAGGAGGCCAAGGAGACATGGAAGGAGATTGTGATGTCTGTATGGGTGCTGAAAAGGGACATATTGGTTTAGACTAAACTACCAGAAACGGCACAAGAAGGCCAAAAAACCCGAGGAGTCCACAGAACAGGCTCCCAGGCCAAACGAACATAGGGGAAATCCCTTCCTCATTCCAGCAGCGATAGTGACAGCTCCATAATCACAAATCGTGCTGGACTCAGCAACCCCCTTGTTCCAGCCAATGGGTATGGCATGGTGGGGTCTTCCTGGATTTCAGATTCACCCACAGCTGGAACCAGTGCGCAGCCCCAGGCGGACTCTAGACCCTGGAGGGCTAAATATTTAACAAGCAGGGAACAAAGGTGAAGCCCGATAGGATGTTAGTGCAGAGGCTGATGCTGGGAGCAAACCTCCAGCCATGCAGAGCCTGTGGTCCCTTCTCCTGTACCTGTGTGGGCTCCTGGCAGATGCCTTCTCCCTGTGTGAGACGCCAGCGAAGCTTCATGCCAATGAGCTGGACCGAGACCAGGTAACTAACAGAGCAATCCTAGGCAGAGTCACACCCTTCGAACAGCCTACTGAAGTCCAGCGGGCACAGGAGCATGTAACTCTGCTTAGGATGACGCCATAGGGTCATTAAGAGATGCTGGGGGGGGGTCTTTGCAGGTGGGTGGCAGGGAGGGGCTTCCATTCTCTCT